CCACACATTTCCTGTTTTTATCGTTTCCACTTTAATATCCAGTCATCTTTCTGGAGGCGTGTGTGAGACAAATTTAAACAGTGGAAATGTTTCTTTTCACATCACTCCCACTCTGTGCCTCCGTGCCATCCACTTCTCTTTTACATAGAAAACTGATCATTTCGACACGTCCTTCTTCAAACCGCTGGCTTCCTTTGAGCCTCTGTGTGGTTTTAATGTGCCTGCATCAGTGTGAGGGCACTTCGTGCTGTCATCGATTCTTCAGCCTGAAGAGCTGGTGACTGTGTGAGTGCAGACGTTAGGTTTCATACTCAGTTCCTTACTTTGGAGAAGCTGCGTCAGCGATAAGCAGACATTTCTGCACTGCAGAGCTGATGAAGAAGTGAGCGCTCAGTTCACAGGAGTGTTTGCCACACATGCATCTGCCTGCTGTGTGCAGACGGAGCGATTTGTATTGTGTAACTTGTCTCTGTCATTGGCTCCCAGCCGGCTGCTACTCCAGCGGGAACAAGTACAAATACTTTGCTACTGTACTAGTAGAGTTTTCAGGTTCCTGTGTTTGACTCGAGTAGTTTCTTTTATACTTTTAACTTTTATTCGCTACATGTTGAAACAAATATTCGTACTTTCTGCTCCTTACATTTGAAAACAGGCTCGTTACGTTTGATTGGACGGTTTTGAGGTGATTTATTATTTTGTCGCTGCGAGGCTTCAAACATCAAACTGATTTGAACCTGATCAGGATCACATGAGAGGAAACTCAGTTCGATTATTAATGACCAGGAGATTACAGCGTGTGGCAGAGTCAGGGCGGCCAGGCTGTCGTAAAGCTTTTCCCTGTTCCTCGTCTTTCCCTGCATTTATTATTTGTTTCCCACCCCCAACCCACCCACCCTGGTGGCTCCACCCCCAGCATACCTGTCAGCACCTGCAGCTCAGCCACCAGCTGCTGGTTACAGCGGTATCTTCCATGATCCGACTCCTTCAGATGCTGGACGCAGAGGTCGCCATTAACCATGAGGCGGTAGCGCCGGCAGTCCTTGTTGGTCTTGTAGCCGCCCCGTCGGATCACCAGGACCTCCTGATCCTGCCGAGTCCAGATCACGTCTGAGCTGCCAGAGCTGCCGCACGGCAGACAGACGTGGTGATTCTCAGGGACCGAAAACCAGATCGCTGCTGGGGCAGAGGACGGGGTCACACATCTGAAACTGTCGAACTCAAGCAGTACAAATGTGCTTTAAATACAGCCACAGGTCCTCTAACGTGGCTGAACCAATGCAGCACACAGGTGAGCTCACCTGGTTAAGCTGCATTAAGGCTTAACATGGTTTACTGTGAGGTTAATAAAAGACTTTCTCATAGAGGCCGTTTGCTTTGGTAACTTCTGCCTGAAAGACGTGAAGATGACGACGTCCACGACACTTTAAACGTCAAACGTAAAAACAGGGCAAAGGCTCAAATGTTGCTGTGGTCATCTTTTATATACAGTCTCGTGCAGGTTCTCCTTTAGTGATCCGTCTCCTATATTTAGATGATGTGATGAAGCTGTGTGACACTCACACCCTGCTGATGCCCTGGCTTCAGTTTGTTTCCTCTTTTATCTCATGGAAACGTCTGCGTCTAAATTTACAACGTTGCAAAATGTTTGCTGGACAGCGTTTTGTCGAGCAGGGCGGTGAACGATGTCGTGTGTCAGAGGAAATCTACACGCACTGACTGTAAACATGCATAACTGTGGATTTATGACGTTTTCATCTTTAACTTATTTTGCACCAATAAAGAAATAATCATCTTCCGATGGACTCTTTCATAACAGCATGTGAGTCATTTCAGTCCATCAAAATGTTTTTATGGGAATTTGACACAAAAAGATGTTTTTCTAGAACATGTTTGATTACATCAAGTTTGCAAAAATGGAAACAACAACTGTACAAAAGTAAACTGAGGCGTGCACCGTCCAACTTTAACCCAACAAAGGCAACCCATAAATAAGAACAACTGTATTATTGTTTCCTCGCGGTTCCCTGAAAGTGTGACGAGGACAGAAGAACGGGAGGTTTTCGTACCTGTGGAGTTTCCCGTGCAGCCGATCAGACCTGAGAGCAGGAACCAAACGTGACAGGAGAACATGTTCAGGAACAAACGTGGAGCTGCAGAGCTGCCGACGCGCCTCGAGCCTGTCTGTCTCTGCACCGCTCTTCCTCTCCTTCCTCGTCCTCAGTGACTCAGGGAGCGTCAGCGGCCTGGAAAATAAAGAGGCGTGCTCCCGCTGCAGGTCTGCTGTGTCGCATGGATCTGATGAGCAGCTGGAAGCTCTCGGATGAAGGACTAGCTGAGATTTTAACCTTTGTTCCTCTGAATGTTTGTGTGAAAGTCAAACAAAAGGTAAACATGACGACATCATGCTCGCAGCAGGAGGCGTGGAAGGTTTGATCCTGAGGATTTCCTGCAATTAGAGAAAAGTCACATGATGAAGGTTAGAAAACACCTGTGGCTCTGTGACGTTATCATCACCTGCAGAGTGGAATCACTTTAAAACATCACAGACTCGGACTAATGCAGGGAAACATCCCCTCAGGCTCGCTGTCGGTGCAGCTTGATCACACGGTAAACACACGTGTTGGCTCGAGGCGCTGCAGCAGACACGTGAATATTTCATTATATCCTCAAATATCTCTGAGGCTTTACCAGGTGTGTTTCCCAGAGCCGGAGGATGATCGATGAGCGAGTCCTGATGAGATCCACCTTTAGGGAAAAACAGGCTTTTGTTCACTCAACAGTTTTGTCTTTTTCTTTTTTCCATGGAAACGTGAGAAAAATGCTGGAAAAGCCTGAATTTCATTGACTCAACTTTAGGCTCTGTGTGACACACATGGAGATAAATAACTTCACAGAGGTTCACACTGTAACGTTTTCTGGGTAATTTCCTTCCTTTAACGTAAGATGACAGAAAAAATGACACTGAGGTCACTTGTCCCCTGTGAGGACACCTGCCTCAAAACTCCCATCATCTTAAACTGGTTTCCTGAGCTCGCTGCACTCAGACCTGCAGCAGTTTAAAGTGTGTCTCATCACACAGAGACGTGAAGCTTCAGTCTTCAGCGTCTCTCAGCACAAACACTTTCACTGATCAACGATCAGCGATGAAGGATCAGCAGGGTTTCTGTGACAAACTGAACTGTTTTCTAATTCGTCTCCTTCGTTCACCTTTTCTTTTATTTCTACATCTCCACGTGATGAAGACGAGGGGGACGACAGCAACCAGAACCAGCTGCTGCTCAGAATGAGCCCCTGGAAGAAGACACAGTAACGCAGCTCAGATCAACGTGACGCACCTGAAAGCACCAAAGAACCAGGAGCTCTGCTCAGACTCAGCCACAGCTCAGCTTGTTTCTGATGTACCTGATACCTTTAGAGCCGGTCGGAGCGGGCACGCTCTGTTTTGTGTAACTATTTTAAAATCCCGGTAGCTCTGCAACCACATAAGCTAGCAATATGATTCTTTTGCATATGAAACCGGAGGAGTTGTACTTACATCTTATGCCATCAGCTTGTCCTCGGTCACAGTTTCCTTCCACATATAGCTTTGCAAAAACTGCATCAAAGCACTTGCAGCAACAAAAACATAATATTCCAGAAACACGCTTTGCCGATCCGATCAGCTGTTTGTAACACTTCCTACGTCCACCATGACCTGCCCGAAATCGGAAGTGACATCATTTTGCGGAAATGTAGTTTTTTACCATCGTGGCCTCATGAGCCTATACTGGTGTTTTTAAAAGTTATGTTTGACTTTATGACTTTCTGTGTGGTTTCTGGGATGCTGAGGACTCAGATTGCACTGCTGGAAATAGTTTATTTTGATGCAGATGCTACTTTTTTGCAAATTTGCACTATAATATGTATTTTCGTTTTTCCTGCAGTATATAAAAATTGGTGTATTTCAAAAATAAAACTATGAAGACACTTAAAATAAATTTCCTGTGGTGGGAAACTATTTTGTGCAACGTTTTTGTATTTACAGTTTTGAGGGATAAGCCTCTTAAATTTCTCTAACTAGAAATATATGTTAAAAAAACAAAAACGATTTTCAATTTTTTTGCAATTTATGTAATTACTATGCACTTAATGCAGACATTTGATTAAAATCTGGGCTATAATGGTTGTATTGATGTATAGCAACTTGAAATGGCTCCACAGCATGTAAAAATATAATATAAGCTCTGACGGACTTGGTTCTATGGTAGGACTAACCTAACCCAGTCCAGAGTCGCTGAGCTGAACGTCTCTTAAAGTTACGAGTCTCCTTACCTGCAGCGACGTTAGAGCCCAGAGCAGCGGCTGCTAACAGGCAGCAGCACACGTCCAGCTTCATCCTGACTGCAGTCATCAGCTCACATGAACACACTCTGTGGGCTCACAGCATGTTTCTCATCAGCTCAGCGTGCTCGTCGCTCAGTGCTGATAAATGTCAGAAACACGTACACGTGACACGTGTCTGCTGCGCTCACTGTCTGCTTGGATGATTATAAACAGATGAAGTCCTGAGGTCACAATTCTGAATCTTACAGCTACAAACCTCCACGCTGTCACCTCCACGGCGTGGAGGATGTAACATGGAACACAGGCGAGGAACATTAACTAAACCTAAAGACTAAGAAACAAGTAAGGGAGCTGGAAGAGACGAGAGCAGCAGAAGCCCTGAATCAGAGTAACATAGCTTGTGTGTTTGTCCAGGTTCATTCATGTGTTATTAACAGACCGATGACGGTGACACAGGAAGGAAGCTGAGCAGCTGATGGGCCGTCTGTGCTTTCAACAGCTGAAGCTGTGAAGCTCAGCGGACACGTCTGCACACAAACACAAAGTCAACACAAATCTACTGTTTTCCAAGTTTACTTGATCTAAATGTGAATATTATCAGTGTTTTAAATGTGACTGCAGCAGACGTGTGACATGTTTCGTCATTAATACCAAAACGCTTTAAATCAAAGCTTTTATTCATGTGTTCATGAAGTGAATCAACTGCACTCAGAAACTTTCTCAGGCCAACAATAGTTATCTTACAAGCTTTTGTCTTTATAATCATGTCTGTAAAGGATTTTTATCACTTTGACCTTCAGATCAATCTACTGACTGGAGGAAAGGTCAGAGGTCAAACACACACACTACAGCACACTGTAAGAATCAAAGCTTTTAGCTTTTTGTCAATTTTCCACCGATGAATCATGAACCTCGAACACGTCGATGGACGGAGGACAGATTTCAGGCTCCACCCCCCACCGCAGCCACCCTGCGCTGGATGAGTGGGTGGGTGTGACCATGAGCTCTGCACCTCAGCACAGTTGGGTCAGAATTTATTTAAGCTTTTTAGCGTAAGTGTTTAAAGACAGACACACTAACAAAAGCCTCCTGGGTCGATTTCATCAGCTGCAGTTTCACAATAATTCAGAATAATCTCGACATATGCATGTTACATGTTACATGTTCCCATGAACATCTGTGCTGTGCAGACTGTTCCTGACAGCAGGACATTCAGGTGAAGCTACACCGGTCCGGCCTGGTTCTTGGGTTTCTTCAGTAAGACATACGTGTTGTTGACGGGCTGTGAAGAACCTGTGGATCATAAACATCATCAGTCTGAGTGGGTTGTGTGTAACAAACACAGCTGTGCAGGTTTGGCGTGTTCACCATGAGTTTGTGTAAAATGAGGTGCTGATCGTTAAAATGACCTTTTTTTATTTCCATCACTAAACGTGGCACCAATCACAGAATATGGAGAATCTGCAGGAGGAAAAGAAAAACATTTAAATTTATCACCAGAACCTCTCATTTAGATGGGACTGTAAATAGTGATGGCAGCTCAGGTGTTACCGGTCGTGTTTCCAGTCCGTGGCAGCTCAGCGATGGTGTCGTATGTGGCATCACTGTGGTTTGATCCTCCTGTTAAAATGTTTATCAAATAGTCTTCATCAGATCCAAGTAACAGTCCAGTTTTAAGCTGTTACACACAACAAATCAACATTTTCAGCTTTAGAAGACACCAGATCCAAAAGTTTGATCACACAAAATAATTTTGGGTTATCCAAAAATAACTCATGTGTGGCTCTTTTAGTACCCGTCCAAATCAGAAGCAAGAATTAAAGTTACCTTTATTATTTCCAGCATGGAAAGTGGAAGCAGTCAAGGAATGTGGAAAATCTGTAAATGAAATATTTTGATTAGATGCAGCATGAAGGTGGAAGGAGATGAAGTGTCAGCAGAAGGTTTGCTTAGATCATGTGACTGTGAAGGCTCAGTGCAGCACAGGTGTTACTGGTGTCGTTTCCAGTCTGTGGCAGCTCAGCGATGGTGTCGTATGTGGCATCACTGTGGTTTGATCCTCCTGTCAACAACAAGTCTCAGTAAGAGTTTGGCAGACATCACTCTCCTGCTTTACTGTTGATGAGGTTCAGAATTTGAAAGTTATCCAAATGGACCGATTCGTATACAGCACTTTGGGGATCAAACCACCGACCTCCCAATCAGCAGAGGACCTGCTCTGCCGCCTGAGCTACAGCCAACCCAAACATCCAAACTTCAATCGGCTTAATTACAGAATGAACTAGAAGACGACGATAGAGTAAAAATAATAATATGAAACACAGCTACAAGATTTCAGTGCAGTTTTCAGTTTAAAATATTATCTACATAACATCTAATGATGGAAACAACAGGAGGGGAAATAATTTAAGTGGCTGCTCCATCAGGCAGTGTGCAGGTCGTAGGCGAGCTCCTGAGAACAAACACTGGATTCATTCAGACTATCAAACTACAAGCAGCTCCGATGATGAGCCTCAGTCACAGCTGCTTCACTCTCACCATTTATAAGATGAAGTTCTGCTCCAGCTGGTATCTCATCATAGACGTGGAGCTGTTTGTCAGTCCCTGCAGACAGATCAGAGTCAGCTCCTGCTTTAAAGTTTAAAACACGCTGCCTGTGATGACGTCCAGCTGTGATAATGAAAGTGAAGCTAAACTGGACTGTGGCTGCTTAGGAAGCTTTTGCTGTTAAACTGAGTTTAGGAAATACTGACCGCTGACCTTTCACCTCACATACTTACAGTGACCAACCTGCTCTCACCTCGAAGGTGTCTGTTTGCACCAGAATAAAGTCCACAGGATGTAAAATCAACAGTGAGGCAGAATAAAATCATTTTAGGTTTGGAGTTAACAGTAATATTATATAAGTGCTGTGTACTCATTTAAAATGAAAGATTAAAGATTCATTTGTAGAAAAGAAACTGTAACCTTTGAACTTGTGTTAGCTTTATTGTTAGCTAAGCTGCTAACAGCATACGCTAATTTATTTTATTTTATTACTTTATTCACATCTTCACTCACCGAATGGAATCTGTGCACAGAGGTGAACACGCAGTAGTAAAACACAGCTAACTGAACTGCATTAGCTCAGGTGGCTAATGTGTTAGCATGATGTGTTAGCATGACGTGTTATTATGATGTGTTAGCATGATGTGTTAGCATGATGTGTTAGCATGACGTGTTATTATGATGTGTTAGCATGATGTGTTAGCATGACGTGTATTATGATGTGTTAGCATGATGTGTTAGCATGACGTGCATTATGATGTGTTAGCATGATGTGTTAGCATGACGTGTTAATATGATGTGTTAGCATGATGTGTTAGCATGACGTGTTATTATGATGTGTTAGCATGATGTGTTAGCATGACGTGTATTATGATGTGTTAGCATGATGTGTTAGCATGACGTGTTATTATGATGTGTTAGCATGACGTGTTAGCATGACGTGTTAATATGATGTGTTAGCATGATGTGTTAGCATGACGTGTTAGCGTGATGTGTTAGCATGATGTGTTAGCATGACATTTGAGCTGACAGACAGACCGCAGCTCACAGCCACCATCGTACTAACAGATGTTTCAAAAGAACCGAGTGAAGGAAGCTAAACTGGACCACAGCAGATATGTGAGAATGATGCGACTAACATGTCTAAACCAATGAATAAGTCATGTAAACCACAGATTCTGGTCATGTTTCTCTTTACTCACCTCGTCTGCTGGACCTGCATCTCCACATGAAGCAGGCAGTGATGAGGATGAGGATGGAGAGAAGAAGAAGACCAGTTCCTATCAGGAAACTCTGCACTGGAAAAGCTGGACAAGGTCAGAGTGATGAACACGGATCATGCATCACATACATGGACACTCTGTAATATTTAATATATAAACACATCAGACCTCACTCTAAAGGTCATTTATGCTACAGGCCAGAAGAGATGAACATGTTTACATTTAAATCTGTTCAACTGCACTCGTTAGATTCTTTGATGCAATCATACCTGATGGAGCATCGGGGGGTGATGCAGGTGTTACTGATGCTGTATGAGTTGTAGCAGTAGGTGGTGTTTTTGTTGTTGTTGTCTTATTATCTTAAGTACAGAAAAAAGAAAATGTAGATACATAAAAAATAACAGCTTAAAAATCAACGATTGAACTTTAAATATACGAGTTGGTTAAAAACAAACTCCACATACAAACAAAGTAAAAAACTGAACTGAAGAATTTCACATAACATCTTGTGATTTGTGAACAATGATTGGATGCTGTCTGACTGATGCTGATTAATGTCACGCGGTGAAGCTGACATGTTTTAACTTTGTGTTTTTAAGCATTTGTGCATGAGTTGCTGTGTTTCATCGTTTTTAATCTTTAATAATGTCCAGTGTTTTATTCGTACAGTTTCATTGCATGCTTTTATTGTGTATATTGTTGACGTGTTCCCGGAAGTCTTAGCTGGCATGCCAGTTAAGACTGTGACCAATCAGGGTTCGCCCTTGGCCACCGTAGGCCAATAAGAGGACCTGGCGGGGCAGATGAAGGGGGCTAGAGGTAGAGCATGAGAGACTGCAGCAGCGACACGGCGGGATAGCCGGTGGTCGGCGACTGTTGCAGAGAGCGGCAGAAAACAGAGGAAACTCTACAAAAACATTTCTGTGTTACTTTTGGGTTCATGTGTCTCACCTCTGTCAGATCTCTGTCCTTTGGTCACATTCAGATAAGCAGCTGGTTCTCCATCACAGTAGTACAGTCCAGAGTCAGCAGGCTCAGCTTCTCTTATACGTAATGTTGTGTCCTCCGTGGAAACAGAAATCCTTCCTTCATTTATTTCTCCAGAGTCTCGTCTCCACGTGGGAACAGCTGATCCTCCAACATCATGAGAACAGTTCAGAGTGATGCTGCTCCTCTCTGCAACACTCACTATTGTTGTTCCTGTGAAGAATTAATGACATTTATCATTAAAGTGATTCTTTCCAACGTGCTGATTGGTTTAAAGGTGGACGTCAACAGGAAAGAGGAGGACAGGGAGCACAGAGAGGGCTGCAGCCGACAGCGTTCATTGTTTTCACTGTTTCACTGCATCCATTTCTATTTATCTGTTTCCATCAAACTGGAGCTCAGGCAGCAACAACAGCACAGACAGACACGAGTCCACACAGTATATCTGCGCACTGCCCTCTGGTGGCAGCACACAGCTACTACAGGCTGTGTGAAGCTGGCCCGAGCCGCCACTTCAAACAGGAAGTCTGCGCTCTGATGATACCGGTTATCTCTGCTGGCGTTTTAGGTTTTTGATGTCAAAGCAAAGACAGAATGACATCGTCAACATAAAGTCGGTCACTGCACAAAAACCCAAAAATGCTTCAGTGTGATCGTATCAGCTGAAGTTCAGATACACTGGTTTGAGTTTACAGAGAGCAGAGATAAGACTTTTATTATTATGTAGCTGCTCACTGGTTACTGCAGCATGTGAGGTTACACATGAAGAACATTACAGTTATTACTTTATAGAAACTCATCGACAGTAACAGGAAGCACATGTGACAAAACAAAGCTGCAACTAAAGTTAAAAACACGTCTGAAATGCAGATTTTCATTCTCACTGAATTCGTTTGAGTCAGTTATTGTTTTTTTATGGAAGACGCGTGATTTTTAAACAGGTCAACTGTTAAAATGTTTGATGTTACCTGATGGGATCACTGTCAGCTCCACAGCTGCTTCATGGTTACAGAAGTATCTGCCAGAGTCTGAGGGAGCAGCTCTGAGGACGATCAGAACCCCGTCAGCCTGTGAACTGTATCGTTTCTGTGGATCATTGATGTGTTTTTTGTCTCCGTCTCCATCAGCTGTAAGTATGTCAGCTCTGCTTCCTCCACTCTCTCTGCTCCACCTCACTCCACCCTCCACAGAGTGAGGACAGGGCAGAGTGACCTGCGTCCCCTCCTTAACTCCTTCATGGGTCAAACCTGCAAAAACAAACAGTTTTCAGAATCACATAAACCTTCAGATGCTGTGGACACACAGTAACATCACACGTTTATCCTCATGTAAATAACTGGAGACTTTCTCAATGTTTTGATTTTTTAAATCAAGTTTCATAAAATTAAACTTTGATAGAAATCAGGAAGAATAACGACGCTCTACATCATCCGAGTCTCAGAAGAAGCTCAAAGAGTCTCACCTGCAGCGACATTAGAGCCCAGAGTGCAGGCCAACAGGCAGCAGAAGATGTTCACCTTCATCCTCACACAGTGCGAAGTGTCTGAACAGTTCCTGTGTGATCTGAGAACAGGAACTCGGCCTCTGTGAACACGCCTGTTCTTCTTCCTGCTGCTCACTTCTTGTGGTTAATGAATACAGATGCTCCTTTTATAGTTTGGAATGTGATGTAATTTACATTCTGACAGTTTTGTGTTATCGACTGATGCAGATATAAGACGATGTCGTCGTAGGCGGAGGTAGAAGGTTCCAGGGTGGGGGTGGTGGGGGCGTCTGATCTCCTGTCTTACTGTAGAAACCAGATCAGTTACATCAGTGAGTTTTCACCACGCAGCGAATAATCAAATAATAATCAAATAACAACTTTGGATTGTTTTAAATCATGTAGCCAGTGAGGCAGGGATCACTGACACTAATCTGATGGCTGAAGGAGGGCTGTGTGTACATACAAAGGTCAGCTGCGTTTACATACTTAATAATATGACCCGCCCATGCACTAAATGACTGTCTGTGAGGGACAGCCAATAAGAAGAGAGTTGTCTTAAAGGAGAAAGAGAGTGAAGTGTGGGGTGAAAGACGGTCAGAGGATGAGCAGCAGAGACTGAGTGGATGATCAGAGTGATGATGTCAGAGCGTGACAGTGTGGGGAAGCAGAAGTGATGAGATGAAGAAAAACCTCAGGAACATGAGGGAGCACAGATCTTATCCACAAGAAGCTTAATGTGGCATTTTTGTAAACCCGGAGTCATCAACGCTCTCGTAGTCGAGCCCAACAATGAAAATGATTTTATGCTGTAAAGCTGCTTTTGAGTCTCACGTCTGAGTCCTGCGTTCGGGTCCGACCCCGACAGCCGAGCCTGACCCTGAGTTTAACACTCTCAAAGTGTAAACGTGAGAGAGCAGAGTGATGAGCTGCTGCAGGAGGAAATTCAACACAACGATTTCACAACAGCTGTCTGTGAACTTTAGAAGAGTCAGACGGATGACACACAAGCAGAGAGCTGCAACCCTGTGGGTTTATCCAGGACTGCAGCAAGAAAACAACCACAGCACAGACGTCACAGAGGTCACAGAGGTCACTGAGGTCACTGAGGTCACTGAGGTCACTGAGGTCACTGAGGTCAGCGTCCTGGTGCTGGAAACCAAACAGGTTTGTGTTTTTAAAGCTGTGTGTGTCAGAAATCAAACATATATCATTGTGATGTTGTTTATTCTATTACTCTTGTTCTCTTCTGCTTGTTTTCTTTTTTCTTTCTCAGCAGGTGATCCAGGTGATTGATATATGCATTTTTTTTCTCTGCCCGTTCTGTTGGTTTTTGTCTTTTGCCCTTCTCCCCCGTCCCTCTTCTCAGCTGTTTCTCTTTCCCTCTTTCTTTCTCCCCTTCTTTCCCCCAGTCAAGTCTGTCCCGTATTCAGTAAGTGAAAATAAAATAAACAATAAAAGGTGAATCAAATGGACCATTACGGCAAGGCTGGGATGGTCAGTTTGGTAAAGTAAATCCGTTGGGCATCTTTCTTTGCCTTTAGACAACAATTCTGATGCAAAAGAGCCAAACGGGACAGGCAAAAAAAAAAAAAAAAAAAAAAAAAAAAAAAAATCAAACTGTGAGGCTGAAGGACTCAGACCAGTCACTGTTTCACATATTGATGAGTGTGGCTGCATTTCCTCCTGTGTCCCACTGCACTTCCTGCTTTATTTTGAAGGGTCGTCTCCTGCTCAACGTGATGCTGCTTTGTCAGCTGCTGCCTGTGTCTCGTGATTCTGCACCACAGACCTCATCATTCGGAGCAGCAGCAGCGGTGACACTGGCCTCTGAGGGATGATAGGGATGACACACAGTCTGCATGAGGAGGCTGGTGGGGTCGAAATCTTCTGCTGCTTTGGTCAGACTCATAGTTTGGGTTAAAATCCACCCAACCTCTCTAACTTTGTCTCCAAACAGCTTAACCTGAGGCGACTCTCTCATGTACTCTTTTAATCCAGCACGTCAGACTCCCTAAAAATCTGTCGCTCTGTCAGTGCCACTGTCTCCCCATCATCACAGCTGGTCTCTCCTGCAGTTGCTTTGGATGGTTGGCCTGGGTATTCAAACTCACGTCTTCTTAGCATAGCTTCAACAACAGCTGTCGTTCTTCATCAGTTTATCCCTCCTCGCTCTAGCTCACATTAAATAATCGGGTTAAACAGCCCTCTCTCTCAGACACCTCCATACCTGCACAGGTTTGTCACGTGGACGGCTGCCTCCTCCTCTTCATGGCTGCCCTCACTTCCTCCTTACTCCTCTGAACTTCCTGGTCCATAATCCTTCCTCGTCTCTCAGATACAATCTCTTTTCTCAGTGTCACATGAAGGTGACTGTCAGCCTTTGTCTTTGCTGTAGCTACCACCTAGCTATCAACCTCCTCTTCTTCAAAGTCATCCTACCATTAAATGCTGCAGGTATACACCCTCCCCTGACACCACCTTACAGTCTCCTAGCTTTCACTTTCCCCTTCCTGTGTTAGATGTAGCCCACCTGTGTGCACCTTCATCACAATCACAGTTTCATTTCTCTCTCCAAGCCCACCCAGCACCTCCGTCACCTCTGTTCCCTGCACCTGGATGTCAGAGCTCTGCTCCAATCACCACTCGCTATGATCCTGTCTGACCCCCTCCTGACCTCCACAACACTGTTCACCTGCTCCACCTTCAAGGCTTCCCCTACTCCATTTCTATCTGCACCATGGAAGAACAGCTAGCATCCATCTCCAGCGTCAGCCTTGCTTCCCGTCCACACATCTACCTTCCTCCATGATATCAGCAGCTTTATCAGTCTGGTCAACTATCATTGGTATCATAATGTCATGTACACTGAAGTGGACTCACAGTCAGCCTTTATTTACAGTGACTTCACTAAAAACATGCGTCATACAAATGTGGAAATAGAAGCTGTGCTCCAGGGAGCAGCAGACATGCAGCATCAACGCTCAGGCAGGACCATCCCAGTCAGGACCATCCCAGTCAGGACCATCCCAGTCAGGACCATCCCAGTCAGGACCATCCCAGTCAGGAGGGAAATCCTGGGAAGCTCTGCACAGAGGGAGGAGAAACAACATTAGAGTAAAGAGACGAGCAAACACTCATCAGAGCCAAGGCTTCACCAACGACGTCTTCCCCGGATCGGCACGCTGACAGCAGCTGCTACCTGGAGGAGCGCTGCTGACGAGCTCACAGGTGCTGCTTCAGCGTTTTAATTTTACACAACAATAAAACACCAAAAGAAAAAAATGAAGATTTTCCATAGAATAAATATCTTTAGCGTTTCACTCTGTCAGCACAGGCAGAATACACTGGGCTTTGAAATGGTGCAAAAGGATATAAAATGAGGTCATTTTCTATATTTATGACAGAGCAGAAGCAGCAAAGGGTGTGTGGTGTAGGTGGGTCATCACTGAGTCCCACTGATGACTGACATGATACCAACCTGGCTTCAAGCATCTAAAATATAAAACATGTTTAGATTGATCTTCTTTATAATTCCAGATATCCTGCTTCGTGTATCTGATGTCTTCAGTTTGTGTCCACAATGTACAGAGTAGCAAAAACACAGAAACATGAAAGGATGAGTGTGTCCAAACTTTCCTTGTTTCTCTTCCTTCTCGGCTCCACATGAAGCTCTCTTTGCTTTGCAGTCGATGAGAGGAGTTTATAAAAACACGAACATAAATACTGAGACGTTGTTGCATCTGGTACATTTTCAAAGATATTCACAGATTTAAACTGTCAGTGATTCATAAGCAAAAGTGAGACGAGTGTGTAAGGATCATATAAATGACTTCACAGTTCAGTGGTTTTCTCTTGGTTGCAGCACTCAGACTCATCAATAACTGCTCGTGTTGTTTGTCCTGAATTTGATTTGCTCAAAGACTGAAACAGCTGTTAAACAAGAGAGATTATTAACAAGGAGAAAGAGAGCAAGTTTCTCCTGTTTTGGCTTCCTGTTAAATCCAGAATTCAAAATGCTGCTCCTCACATGCAAGGTCTTAAATAATCAGGCCCCATCTTATCTTAATGACCTTGTAGTACCATATCACCCTATTAGAGCACTTCGCTCTCGCTCTGCAGGCCTACTTGTTGTTCCTAGAGTATTTAAAAGTAGAATGGGAGGCAGAGCCTTCAGTTTTCAGGCCCCTCTTCTGTGGAAGCAGCTTCTAGTTTGGATTCAGGAGACAGACACTATCTCTACTTTCAAGATTAGGCTTCAAACTTTCCTTTTTGCTAAAGCATATAGTTAGGGCTGGAGCAGGTGACCCTGAATCCTCCCTCAGTTATGCTGCAATAGGTGTAGGCTGCCGGGGATTCCCATGATGCACTGGGTGTTTCTTCTTCACTCTCTATGTGTTAAAGAATATATTAAAAAAAATAAAATCCATTTTTTCCTTGTGATCTTATGTTTTGTTCAATTTAATCTTTTACTATTTATAAACCCTCCAGTGTCTGTTTTCATGAACAGCAGCATCAAACCAATAACTCCACATTTACCTGCAGGGCTGTCAGCATGTTGATGCAGGCGCTGCTCCTGAGAAAGAACACAGAATTAATTATTACGATTAACTATCAGCAGGAATAATTTAATCAGTTTATTTCTTCCTGGAATCTGTTACTCAGACTGTGAGTGTAACAGAAGCAGAGATGAAAGTTTAGATCAGCTCAGCTGCTTCACTCTCACCATTTATAAGATGAAGTTCTGCTCCAGCTGGTGTCTCATCACAGACGTGGAGCTGTTTGTCAGTCCCTGCAGACAGATCAGAGTCAGCTCCTCCTTAAAGACAGTGAAACATGCTGCCTGCTGTGATGTCATGCTGGAAACAAGATTCAGAGCTGTTAGCTGAACCGTGCTAGCCCAGGTGGCTAATGTGTTAGCAGTTAGCAGACAGAGTGAAGGCAGGAAAGTAAACCAGACTTCAGCTGAACATGAAATAAAGATGTGAGACTGATCAGGATAAAGTGTCTAAACAAATACATAAGTCAGCTAAACCACAGCACCTCCTTTTACTTTACTCACCTCGTCTTTTGGACTTTTGTCTCCAAATAAAGTAAATGATGACGAGAACAAGGCTGCAGACGAAGACCACAAGGGCTCGGATCCCCAAGTCAAACAGGTGACGGCTGGCTGGAAAAGCAAAAGAATAATTATCTGATACAATTATTAAACAAACATGATCGACTCTACATACTATTTATTAATATCATAAACACTGCTCCAAAAACTTAAAGGAACACTTCAGAGTCTAGCATCAGGCCAGATGTTGATGCACAGCTAGGCAGCAGCTGTACTTAGAGGGGCAACAATGAGACGACCTCCAACACAGGAGCAGTTTTACAGCTGAAAGTCTCAGACATCGTTTCCTCCTCATCTTTTCTGTCTGTGTTTTCACCAGTTTGACATCCAGCTAAGGTCAGTGTGTCTACTGGTAGCACTGGGTGATACTGGACCCTCCACAGGTTGCACAGGTAGTCCAGCTTCTCCAGCTGTGGCACATTGAATACGTGCCACAGCTGGAAGCTTTGCTGTGTCTCGAGGCGTCTTTGAATTCAGCCTCTGTAGGTTTATAATGTTCATGTCCATCCAACGATGTGGCATCCTTCCATTGCTAACACGTCCTCGCTCATATTATAGATATGCAGCAATAGTTTTTCCCATTGAGATCAGACACGTTTTCAAAGTCTTCCTTTTTTTCAACAGTGTTTTTTTAATGTAATTCAGAACAGCTGAGCTTGTCTTACAGAGCATCATGCCTCAAACACACACGTCATTTATACTGTAAACAGCAGAGCTGATGTAAGTTTGACTGAGAATTACACATTTAAACCTGTGAAGCTGAATGATGTCTTTGTTGGAGTCATACCTGACGGGGCAGATGTCACTGCAGGCTGATGAGTAACTGTTGTAGTTGTTGCTGCTGCGCTTGTTTCATGATCTTGAGAATACAACAGAGAATATAATTTCATACACTGAAAATGAGAAAGACTGACAGAATTACACATGTGTATTTTAGCCAAATATGTACCATAAATAAAATGCATGTTTTCAAAAAAATACAATTTCTATAAATAAGAAACAAAAACATTTGATAATATCTTGAGATTTGGAAACGATGACTGGGTACTGGATTTGTTAAAAGTGCCGTGTTATACAGGAGCAAACGCAGTGACGTCATCGACAGCACTGCTCAAACTCGAGGGTCTAAACTAAACTCATCCTGCTCTCTGCTCTTCCTCCTCTTTGAGCTGTAAACTGTGATGTGCTGGTGGCTGCAGACCCCGCAGGTTTAGCTCTTTGAACGTGGAGTTTAATGTGTTTTGGGTTCGTGTGTCTCACCTCTGTCAGATCTCTGTCCTTTGGTCACATTCAGATAAGCAGCTGGTTCTCCATCACAGTAGTACAGTCCAGAGTCAGCAGGCTCAGCTTCTCTTATACGTAATGTTGTGTCCTCCGTGGAAACAGAAATCCTTCCTTCATTTATTTCTCCAGAGTCTCGTCTCCACGTGGGAACAGCTGATCCTCCAACATCATGAGAACAGTTCAGAGTGATGCTGCTCCTCTCTGCAACACTCACTATTGTTGTTCCTGTGAAGAATTAATGACATTTATCATTAAAGTGATTCTTTCCAACCTGCAGACTGTTAAACAGGAAGCTGTGCACTAAAGTTACAGCAACAAGAAGTGGTTAAGAAAATGGATGATGATGATGATGATGATGATGATGATGATGATGATGATGAAGGATGCTCTCTGCTGCAGTTGTTCATAGTCTGACATCGTCTGACTGAATCCAGCTGCACTCGATCAGAGACTGATGAAGGATTTATGCTCCTGGTGTCAAAGCTCTGTGGTTATGCAGAGAGGTGCATGATGGGAGTTCATGCTTCACAGACACATTCGATTTAACCTGACAAAGTGTTTAAAATATGTTTGCATGTCACCTGTAACAGAGATGGATTTTAAACAGAAAATAGAAAAACATGATGTTACCTGATGGGATCACTGTCAGCTCCACAGCTGCTTCATGGTCACAGAAGTATCTGCCAGAGTCTGAGGGAGCAGCTCTGAGGACGATCAGAACCCCGTCAGCCGATGAACTGTATCGTTTCTGTGGATCATTGATGTGTTTTGTAGTTTTGTATCCATCAGCTGTAAGTATGTCAGCTCTGCTTCCTCCACTCTCTCTGCTCCACCTCACTCCACCCTCCACAGAGTGAGGACAGCGCAGAGTGACCTGCGTCCCCTCCTTAACTCCTTCATGGGTCAAACCTGCAAAAACAAACAGAGTTTTTCAGAATTACAGCTCAGACTGAGAAATCCATAAACCTTCAGATGCTGTGGACACATGTTAACTTATCTGTGTGTGATGGGCTGTAAAAATGTCACAAAGCTGAAAACGATTATTTGCGCTTAGTTACACAGATGAAGAGTAATCAATCACATTGAAGACTTTTCACAGCATATTAGTTTATTTTACTCAAGCTTGATAATTAGAATAATGCTTTGCTCACTTAAAATAAATGAAATAATAACTTTCTACTAAAGTTGTTTATGTTGTTTTCCACCTTTTCCTTAACCAGACCCTGCAGGGTTAACCTGAGTGTCCCAGTTTGTTTAACCAGGAGGATCCCAGGCCTGATTATTGTTGATGTATTACAAATATTCTGGTTTTATTGTTATTTACTTCATTCTGAGTAAATAAATATCCATGTAATATAGTTCAAAGTTAGCGTCGTGTTCATACATGTTAAAAATGCCTGTAAATCAAATGAGCTCAGTGACAATTACTGTTTGTTTGAATCAATTTATTAATAACATAAAACCTTTAAACTGATGCAACACACATAACAATGTCACAAATATATTCAACTAAATAAATTTCTTCATTTGGGAACTAATCTTTCTAGAGGTGAACACAGTCGGTCCATCCTCTCCCTGCTCTCCTCTCCTCAGCCTCTCTTTGCTGCCTCGTGTCCTCTCTGATCAGGTCTAGCAGCTCATCATCTCTTCCCTCCCTGTCGTAGGTGGCTGACACGCTTCGCCATCGCTGTCGTTTAACTCACCCACTGCTGTGCTTGGCCCTGGAGTGTCCTCAGGCAGAGAGGACACTAGGACAGAGGCCTAATGGAAGGCATCTGTCCTGTCAGGGGTGATCAAGGAAACACACGGGAAGACAGCAGGAACCAATCAGACACAGCGAGACAGGGCAAGCAAAAGTGAACACAATGCACATGAGACAAGGACTATCAAAATAAAACAGGAAGTAGCTCTGTGTGGTTTTGTTCAGGGGAAACACGGAAACAGAACGGACGGAGCAGAAGGAGAAACACAGAGAGGAAATGGATGAAGGTGAGGAAGAGAGAGAGGCAAACAACCATGGAGACAAGACTGACTTCCACAGGAAACACAGAGGGAAGTGAACGACCTGATCAGCAAACTCAAAAGCACCAGAGGACTAAACTAGGAAGCACAAATCTCATAAATCTCTCTAAGAAAACAGCAACGATTCAGAAGTGCACAAACACAAAACACTGGGCCAACGAGCCACAACCACCACCTGCTGATCGCCAATCAGGAAACACTAATTTCCTGATTGGAGGTTGAACTGTCGTATGAAGCACTCAGTCTTTTCTAACGTTTTATAGTCCGAACAAAATGGCTTCGTCCATCTGTAAAATAACTGAGGGATAATTTTATGACAGATTTACTGTCAGTGAGATAAAAACTGTGACGCGTCGCACACTTTGAGCTGCGGTCACACCTTTATCCAAGCACACAGTCTCACACTGAACTTCACAGCTTTTATTATCTGAGTCTCATATGTAAACTATGAATATGTAAATGTGAATAGAGTGAAAGAGTCTCACCTGCAGCGACATTAGAGCCCAGAGTGCAGGCCAACAGGCAGCAGAAGATGTTCACCTTCATCCTCACACAGTGCGAAGTGTCTGAACAGTTCCTGTGTGATCTGAGAACAGGAACTGAACACGCCTGTTCTTCCTCCTGCTGCTCGTAACCACACAGCTTTACAAACACAAACTTGTTTGTGGGTAAGAGGTAACAGATGCTCTTTTTATAGTCTGTGAACATGTTTCAATGTTAACATTTAAATGGGGACATTTTTATGTTGTCGCTGACTGGAAACAGATACTCTGTCTTACTTACTCTGCAGACAGATCAACAAGCGTAAGGACTGACGACTCACAGAGGATGCAAAGTGGTATCAGCTGGAAACTTGTGGTTTTAACCTGAGCTGCAGGAAGAACAAATACACATGGAAACCAAAGGATATTAATAACATGACAAGAAGCCATTTACACGTCACAACACGGAGTCCACTGAGTTCAGTGGAAGTGAGTATTTTTAAAGCTGTGTGTCAGAAACCACACTGATCAGTCACTCATTCAGATATTGATGAAGAAGCACTGGCAGCTAAAATCCTCTTCATCAGTTCTTCACTGAGAGCACCAGATCCATGAGGCTGGGCTCTACCACACCAGGTGAGACCCCAGGTGCAGGCTGTGTAAAGAGGCCACATAACAGCAGGCTGAAGGGTGTGTCTCGTCCCTTTACTGTGTCTGCTGTAACTGAGTGGATGTCTGTTGTTGTGACGCAGTGTGAAGATGAGTTCCAAGACTCAGGACTGCTGTGGTGGGGGCACCTGCTCACCCCCTCCCTCAGAACAACACATCACTCACGTAGGAATATTGATGGAGGGTTGTGGGCGGCGTAGGTCACAGTCGGTAGGGCCATTCACGTAGCCGTGCTGGCTGTAATGCGGCGACCTGGCCCTCTTTTTAATTACACTTTACTCATGATCTGCTTTTATGAGGCTTACAGTGCTGGTGCTGAAGAACAGAGCAGAGTGTAAAGATGTCTGAAGTTTAGGAGCAGGGATACACGATCCACCTGCCTCAGGCGAGCGTCTGGAGGAGCCTAACCTCAAAGATGAAGATCTGCATAGTTACATATATCCAAATCCCTCTGAAAAACAAACACTTATGATTTAACCAACAACGCTTTTATTTATTTAATCCAGGTAAAAAGTCTCATTGACTTCTCTGTTCTCAGAGGCCGGGTCTCTGTTGGCATTCTCATTAGAATTACTTTGAGTAAACCTCCCAAACATGTAATCACCAATAATGGTTCATAAAAACATTCATTTGATGTCATTTAACATGATTAAAAAAGTCGCCCTGATGATGAATTCCACTGTAGAAACAGGCTCTAAAAACAATTTCATGACATTTTATTGCCTTAATTTCCTAAATGAATGTATTTACAGTTTTACAGCACACACACATCTGTACTGTTAACATGTTAAAAACATCAGAGCAACATTTCACCTGATGACAGCGTTCAGGACTGATTGCTTTTTTTGTATTCATGTTTTCAGGTTGTATTACGACTAACAGTAACACACACAGCTTTTCACAATAATTCAGAATAATCTCGACATATCCATGTTACATGTTCCCATGAACATCTGTGCTGAGGCAGATTGTTCCTGACGGCAGGACATTCAGGTGAAGCTACACCGGTCCGGCCTGCTTCTTGGGTTTCTCCAGTAAGACATACGTGTTGTTGACGGGCTGTGAAGAACCTGTGGATCATAAACATCATCAGTCTGAGTGGGTTGTGTGTAACAAACACAGCTGTGCAGGTTTGGCGTGTTCACCATGAGTTTGTGTAAAATGAGGTGCTGAGTGGCAGCTCAGGTGTTACCGGTCGTGTTTCCAGTCCGTGGCAGCTCAGCGATGGTGTCGTATGTGGCATCACTGTGGTCTGATCCTCCTGTTAAAATGTTTATCAAATAGTCTTCATCAGATCCAAGTAACAGTCCAGTTTTAAGCTGTTACACACAACAAATCAACATTTTCAGCTTTAGAAGACACCAGATCCAAAAGTTTGATCACACAAAATAATTTTGGGTTATCCAAAAATAACTCATGTGTGGCTCTTTTAGTACCCGTCCAAATCAGAAGCAAGAATTAAAGTTACCTTTATTATTTCCAGCATGGAAAGTGGAAGCAGTCAAGGAATGTGGAAAATCTGTAAATGAAATATTTTGATTAGATGCAGCATGAAGGTGGAAGGAGATGAAGTGTCAGCAGAAGGTTTGCTTAGATCATGTGACTGTGAAGGCTCAGTGCAGCACAGGTGTTACTGGTGTCGTTTCCAGTCTGTGGCAGCTCAGCGATGGTGTCGTATGTGGCATCACTGTGGTTTGATCCTCCTGTCAACAACAAGTCTCAGTAAGAGTTTGCATCATTTTTACTTGTGTTCATATTCACAGTGTTCAGTGACATGATGAGTAAAAAGAATTTGTGTGTGGACTTAGCCAAAAAATACGTGTGAAACTCTGCACTCAAGTTTCAAGTTACAAGTACGAATTTTGACCCTGTTTTTCTTCCTTTCATCTGATTGGCCAGTGTCATGTCAATCACAAATTTAACTATCCAATCAGAGAACAGATGGGTTTGGCTGTCGGAGCGGCGCTTTTTTGAACTGCAGGTCCTTCAAACTGTCACAGCTGCTTCACTCTCACCATTTATAAGATGAAGTTCTGCTCCAGCTGGTATCTCATCATAGACGTGGAGCTGTTCGTCAGTCCCTGCAGACAGATCAGAGTCAGCTCCTGCTTTAAAGTTTAAAACACGCTGCCTGTGATGACGTCAAGCTGTGACAGCATTATTAACAATCTTTTAGCTGTTAGACCTCCTCGACGTGTAGAGCCCCAAGAGAGCGCTCAGATCCTCTAACCAGCTGCTCTTAGTGCAACAAAGGCCCCGACGGTGACCGAGGTGACCGAGCTTTTGCAATTGCCGCACCCAAACTCTGGAATAATCTTCCTGTCGATGTCCGCATGTCAGATTCCATTCAATCGTTTAAATCACGCTTAAAAACTCACCTGTTCCATCGAGCTTCTGAAACAAATTGGCTTGGACTTCCAGCTGGTCTGCATCTGTGCCGTGCAACTGTAACTATAACTGCTTTTAATGGTTTTTAACTGTTTTTGTTGCCTTTGTTGTAATCTGCTTTGCTACCTCGTGTTTGATGGACACTGTCCTTTTTAAATGTGCTATAATAATAAATATTGATTGATTGATTGATTGGTTTAGCTAATGACACTGATCTAGAATTTGATAAACCTGCTCTTATCTTAAAAGTACCAAAACACAGTGTGACTGCAGCTGTGAGCAAATGCTTTACTTTGACAGGCTGATGAACAGAAGAGGACACATGTCACACAGATGTCAGCATTTACAGCAGCACCTCTGCTCATAATTGTACGTGTGGACTGAAAAAGCCTTTTCTGGTCCTGTAATCTATGCTGTTCCAACGGTGGATGTTCATGATATTCAATAACCCTGTGAGCTAAAAGCCCAGGCTTCACTCTGCTCTGAAACACTCTTATTCACAGGAGGCTGACCAGTAAGAACGGCTTGTTTCACACAGAGCATGAAGTGAGCAGCTGCAGACGGGCAGTCATCCGAAACTACTCAGTCCAGGAATCCAGCAGTCTGAGGGGGCACCGCTAAACTGTGATGTGTCCTGACCTGTTACCTACAGGTCGTGACTCAAAAGTGAGGCTGAGATTAAACTTTCTAAAAATCTAATTTATGAGATTAAATAAATTGTGTGAATGGAATCAAGGCAGAGCTGAAAAGAAGCAGGAAAATAGAAAAAACAAGGAACACCAAGAAAAGAAAAGCATCAAAACTGAGTCACATTTTAAAGTTTTACAGTGTCGAGTGTTGGAGGCAGACTGCTCCAAAGTGCAGAACCACCACAGCAAAGGCCCAGTCTCCTCTGCTTCGACCAGCATCAGAGATGTGTTAGGACAGTGGTGTTACGTCAGGACAGGCAAATCTAAGAACAGACATGAATGAAAAAACAAACCAAAGCGATCTCTCCTCTCAGAGCTCCTTGGTTTGTACATACATCCTTTGAATTACTGCCATCTTGTGGCCACAGCTGGCTACTGTCACTAAAAGCTGCACTTATTTCAGACTCGTAGCAAAGTGTGTCAGAGGGCGTCTGTGTGTCCTGCTCACACTGAATGAAGCTGCAGCTTCTTCCTGTGTGCACATTTACATTGTGTTTAAACTGCTGTGACTTTAACAGTAAACTGATGGGAGAGCAGCATGAGAGGCAAGCTGCTGCTTCACTGTTCTGAGGTCAGTTACTACCTGCACCAGCTAGCATTAGCTGATTGCTGTGTGTAATGTAGGACCTTAAACAGAATATAAAGTATTTAAGATGTACTTAATATTCTGGGGTAATAAAGTAGGTATTTATTCAACTGTGGCAGTAGCTACTTAGATTTTACAATTCTTCAGCCAGGAAGGAGTGCAGTATGTTTTAATCTGATTGAATTTATCTTGTTAAATAGGTGAATAGTGGAGGAGGATCCTTTGTTTGCATGTGTAATTGGGGTTGGGGTGGTGGGGGGCATCGCTTCTGCTTGCCTGTCTGTAAAAGTCGATCCTAAAACGTACTGGAAGCCATAACGGGGGAAATATGGTCTCGTTTACGTGTGCCTGTCAGACGTCGAGCTTCTTCTTTCTGAATAAGTTACAGAAGACAAAGCAGAGCCCGGCTGATGCCATTTGTTATTACATGAATCTCATTCCATAGCAGACCAGCTGGGATGCAGCACCCAGCGGGTGCAGACAACACTATGGTGGGAAGCTGCCGTGAATGTCATAGAAGTTGGTAACAGAGGTCAGATACAACCTGAATCCACTGGTGGAGAGGTTCAAAGGAGATCCTGAATAAAACCGAAGACAGTCCATCGAAGAAGGAACGAGGAACAGCTGTTAGGAAGTCACTACATAGTTTTTAAACCTCACTGATACGTCTCCTGTGACCTTTCTGATTTCTTCAAAAGAACCGAGTGAAGGAAGCTAAACTGGACCACAGCAGATATGTGAGAATGATGCGACTAACATGTCTAAACCAATGAATAAGTCATGTAAACCACAGATTCTGGTCATGTTTCTCTTTACTCACCTCGTCTGCTGGACCTGCATCTCCACATGAAGCAGGCAGTGATGAGGATGAAGATGGAGAGAAGAAGAAGACCAGTTCCTATCAGGAAACTCTGCACTGGAAAAGCTGGACAAGGTCAGAGTGATGAACACGGATCATGCATCACATACATGGACACTCTGTAATATTTAATATATAAACACATCAGACCTCACTCTAAAGGTCATTTATGCTACAGGCCAGAAGAGATGAACATGTTTACATTTAAACCTGTTCAACTGCACTCGTTAGATTCTTTGATGCAATCATACCTGATGGAGCATCGGGGGGTGATGCAGTTGTTACTGATGCTGTATGAGTTGTAGCAGTAGGTGTTGTTGTTGTTTTTGTTGTCTTATTATCTTAAGTACAGAAAAAAGAAAATGTAGATACATAAAAAATAACAGCTTAAAAATCAACGATTGAACTTTAAATATACGAGTTGGTTAAAAACAAACTCCACATACAAACAAAGTAAAAAACTGAACTGAAGAATTTCACATAACATCTTGTGATTTGTGAACAATGATTGGATGCTGTCTGACTGATGCTGATTAATGTCACGCGGTGAAGCTGACATGTTTTAACTTTGTGTTTTTAAGCATTTGTGCATGAGTTGCTGTGTTTCATCGTTTTTAATCTTTAATAATGTACAGTGTTTTATTCGTACAGTTTCATTGCATGCTTTTATTGTGTATATTGTTGACGTGTTGCCGGAAGACTTCCAGGCATGCCAGTTAAGACTGTGACCAATCAGGGTTTGCCTTGGCCACCGTAGGCCAATAAGAGGACCTGGCGGGGCAGATGAAGGGGGCTAGAGGTAGAGCATGAGAGACTGCAGCAGCGACATGGCGGGATAGCCGGTGGTCGGCGACTGTTGCAGAGAGCGGCAGAAAACAGAGGAAACTCTACAAAAACATTTCTGTGTTACCCTAAAGCAGATGACTCGTAATCTGGAGAGGAAATGGCGTGTCACAAATCTAGAGGATCATCATTTAGCCTGGAGAAATAGTTTGTTACTTTATAAGAAAGCCCTCCGCAAAGCCAGAACATCTTACTATCCATCACTGATTGAAGAAAATAAGAACAACCCCAGGTTTCTCTTCAGCTCTGTAGCCAGGCTGACAAACAGTCAGAGCTCTTTTGATCCAACCATCCCTTTAACGTTAACCAGTAATGACTTCATGAACTTCTTCACAAATAAAATTTTTATCATTAGAGAAAAAATTACCAATAATCATCCCACAGATGTAATATTATCTACAGCTACTTTCAGTACCATTGATGTTAAGTTTGACTCTTTTTCTCTAATTGATCTTTCTGAGTTAACTTCAATAATTACTTCCTCCAAACCATCAACGTGTCTTTTAGACCCCATTCCTACAAAACTGCTCAAAGAAGTCCTGCCATTAATTAATGCTTCAATCTTAAATATGATCAACCTATCTCTAATAATCAGCTATGTACCACAGGCCTTCAAGCTGGCTGTAGTTAAACCTTTACTCAAAAAGCCTCTCTAGACCCAGCAGTCTTAGCTAATTATAGGCCAATCTCCAACCTTCCTTTCATATCAAACATCCTTGAAAGAGTAGTTGTCAAACAGCTAACAGATCATCTGCAGAGGTTTATTTGAAGAGTTTCAGTCAGGTTTCAGAGCTCATCACAGCACAGAAACAGCTTTAGTGAAGGTTACAAATGATCTTCTTATGGCCTCTGACAGTGGACTCATCTCTGTGCTTGTCCTGCTAGACCTCAGTGCAGCGTTCGATACTGTCGACCATAATATCCTATTAGAGCGATTAGAACATGCTGTAGGTATTACAGGTACTGCGCTGCAGTGGTTTGTATCATATCTATCTAATAGACTCCAGTTTGTGCATGTAACTGGAGAGTCCTCTTCACACACTGAGGTTAATTATGGAATTCCACAGGGTTCAGTGCTAGGACCAATTCTGTTTACATTATACATGCTTCCCTTAGGCAGCATCATTAGAAGACATAGCATACATTTACACTGCTATGCAGATGACACCCAGCTCTATCTGTCCATGAAGCCAGATAACACACACCAATGAGTTAAACTGCAGGAATGTCTTAAAGACATAAAGACCTGGATGGCCGCTAACTTTCTGCTTCTTAATCCAGATCAAACTGAGGTTATTGTACTCGGCCCTGAAAATCTTAGAAATATGGTCTCTAAGCAGATTCTTACTCTGGATGGCATTACCTTGGCCTCCAGTAACACTGTGAGGAACCTTGGAGTCATTTTTGACCAGGACATGTCCTTCAATGCACATATTAAACAAATATGTAAGACTGCTTTCTTCCATTTGTGCAACATCTCTAAAGTTAGAAATATCCTGTCTCAGAGTGATGCTGAAAAACTAGTTCATGCATTTATTACTTCCAGGCTGGACGACTGTAATTCATTATTATCAGGATGTCCTAAAAACTCCCAGAAAAGCCTTCAGCTGATCCAAAATGCTGCAGCAAGAGTCCTGACAGGGACTAGAAAGAGAGAGCAGATTTCTCCTGTTTTGGCTTCCCTTCATTGGCTTCCTGTTAAATCCAGAATTCAAAATCCTGCTCCTCACATACAAGGTCTTAAATAATCAGGCCCCATCTTATCTTAATGACCTTGTAGTACCATATCACCCTATTAGAGCACTTCGCTCTCGCTCTGCAGGCCTACTTGTTGTTCCTAGAGTATTTAAAAGTAGAATGGGAGGCAGAGCCTTCAGTTTTCAGGCCCCTCTTCTGTGGAACCAGCTTCCAGTTTGGATTCAGGAGACAGACACTATCTCTACTTTCAAGATTAGGCTTCAAACTTTCCTTTTTGCTAAAGCATATAGTTAGGGCTGGACCAGGTGACCCTGAATCCTCCCTTAGTTATGCTGCAATAGACGTAGGCTGCTGGGGGATTCCCATGATGCATTGAGTTTTTCCTTTCCAGTCACCTTTCTCACTCACTGTGTATTAACAGACCTCTCTGCATTGAATCATATCTGTTATTAATCTCTGTCTCTCTTCCACAGCATGTCTTTATCCTGTCTTCCTTCTCTCACCCCAACCAATCACAGCAGATGGCCCCGCCCCTCCCTGAGCCTGGTTCTGCCGGAGGTTTCTTCCTGTTAAAAGGGAGTTTTTCCTTCCCACTGTTGCCAAAGTGCTGCTCATAGGGGGTCATATGATTGTTGGGTTTTTCTCTGTATCTATGAAGCGCCTTGAGGCGACTTTTGTTGTGATTTGGCGCTATATAAATAAAATTGAATTGAATTGAATTGGAGCATCGGGGGGTGATGCAGGTGTTACTGATGCTTTATGAGTTGTTGCAGTAGTTGTTGTTGTTGTAGTAGGTGGTGGTGGTGTGGTAGTTGTTGTTGTTGTTGTCTTATTATCTTTAATAATGTACAGTGTTTTATTCGTACAGTTTCATTGCATGCTTTTATTGTGTATATTGTTGACGTGTTGCCGGAAGACTTCCAGGCATGCCAGTTAAGACTGTGACCAATCAGGGTTCGCCCTTGGCCACCGTAGGTCAATAAGAGGACCTGGCGGGGCAGATGAAGGGGGCTAGAGGTAGAGCATGAGAGACTGCAGCAGCGACATGGCGGGATAGCCGGTGGTCGGCGACTGTTGCAGAGAGCGGCAGAAAACAGAGGAAACTCTACAAAAACATTTCTGTGTTACTTTTGGGTTCATGTGTCTCACCTGTGTCAGATCTCTGTCCTTTGGTCACATTCAGATAAGCAGCTGGTTCTCCATCACAGTAGTACAGTCCAGAGTCAGCAGGCTCAGCTTCTCTTATACGTAATGTTGTGTCCTCCGTGGAAACAGAAATCCTTCCTTCATTTATTTCTCCAGAGTCTCGTCTCCACGTGGGAACAGCTGATCCTCCAGCATCATGAGAACAGTTCAGAGTGATGCTGCTCCTCTCTGCAACACTCACTATTGTTGTTCCTGTGAAGAATTCATGACATTTATCATTAAAGTGATTCTTTCCAACGTGCTGATTGGTTTAAAGGTGGACGTCAACAGGAAAGAGGAGGACAGGGAGCACAGAGAGGGCTGCAGCCGACAGCGTTCATTGTTTTCACTGTTTCACTGCATCCATTTCTATTTATCTGTTTCCATCAAACTGGAGCTCAGGCAGCAACAACAGCACAGACAGACACGAGTCCACACAGTATATCTGTGCACTGCCCCCTGGTGGCAGCACACAGCTACTACAGGCTGTGTGAAGCTGGCCCGAGCCGCCACTTCAAACAGGAAGTCTGCGCTCTGACTTGATAACTCGGTGATGATACCTAGTGATGGGTACCAGTTCTGACATAAACGGTAGTAACCAGACCGAAAAGCAGAGCACATTTCGGTGCTTTATTTTTTTTTTCCTGAGATGTGATACACTTTAGATTCTAGCCAATCATTTTACGTTTCCGAGGATAGTAGGCGGGTCCAGGTACGTGCGTTCTTTTAGAGGAGAGCTATAGATTAAATGTCCAAGGCGAAGCGGTCAAAAGTCTGGCTGTACTTCACAGCAAAAGATGCAAACTCAGCAGCAACAAGTGCTTTAAGCTGATACTGTGATGCTGTCAAAGGAGGTAACACCTCGAATCCGATGAAACACCTGGCGACGCATAGCGTTTTTTTTTGTTTTTTTTTAAAGCCGAGAAATGCGCCGTATTTGATAGCTTGCTGCGAGACCTCACACTGAGCACATCTACTGCAGGTGTGGTGCCTGTTATCTGACCCGGAGTTAGCAACATCCCCCAAGAACCCGAAGAGGAGAGTCCTGGCCCCTAGCCCTGCCAGTGTAGCAGAAATGATGAGGATGATGATGCAGCAGCAGCCGTTCTTCTCTGCGTGAGTAGCTTCATGTTGTTCATGTGTAATTTACGTTGAGTAGGCTAACCACGTTATTACATTAATGCATGTAAGGTGAACTAGCAAACATCATCATAGCTACATGCGGCTGTCTTCTTGTTTGATGGCAGATACTCCCTTCACCCTGGCCAAAAAGGCTAAAATGGCCAAAGAAAAAGTGGAAAACAGTTAAACATGAGAGGTTTTTGGACAAAGTTTGTGTTTTTTCCATTGTTTAAGCTTCCAGCCAAGAGTGATGCCATATATGCCCCATAGCTGCAGAAAAGGCTAACGTTGTTATCTTTTTACAAAAAAACAGTTAAACATGAGAGGTTTTTGGACAAAGTTTGGGTTTTCCATTGTTTAAGCACCGGCACCGTTTCAAACGTACCGGTTTGGCACCAGTATTGGATAAAACCTAAACGATACCCATCCCTAATGATACCGGTTATCTCTGCTAGGGTTTTAGGTTTCTGATGTTGAAGACAGAATGACATCATCAACATAAAGTCGGTCACTGCACAAAAACCCAAAAATGCTTCAGTGTGATCATGGTAAATGGCCTGTATTTATATAGCGCTTTACTAGTCCCTAAGGACCCCAAAGCACTTTACACATCCAGTCATCCACCCATTCACACACTAGTGACAGCAGCTACATTGTAGCCACAGCCACCCTGGGGCGCACTGACAGAGGCGAGGCTGCCGGACACTGGCGCCACCGGGCCCTCTGACCACCACCAGTAGGCAACGGGTGAAGTGACTTGCCCAAGGACACAACGACCGAGACTGTCCAAGCCGGGGCTCGAACCAGCAACCTTCAGATTACAAGACGAACTCCCAACTCTTGCGCCACGAATCATCATATCAGCTGAAGTTCAGATACACTGTGGTTTGAGTTTACAGAGAGCTGTAGCTCAGGTGGCAGAGCAGGTCAGCCACTAATCAAAAGGTCGGTGGTTCGATCCCAGGCTGCCTCCTTGGGGAAGATACTAACCCCATGTTTGCCTACTGGTGGTGGTCAGAGGGCCCGGTGGTGCCAGTGTCCGGCAGCCTCACCTCTGTCAGTGCGCCCCAGGGTGGCTGTGGCTACAATGTAGCTGCCATCACCAGTGTGTGAATGACTGAATGTAGTCCTTAGGGACTGAGTAAAGCGCTGTACAAATACAGACCATTTACCATTATTATGTAGCTGCTGGTTATTTGATGTTTGCAGATAAATGTTGTTGTAAAAGTGTTTAAAATATGTTTGCATGTCACCTGTAACAGAGATGGATTTTAAACAGAAAATAGAAAAACATGATGTTACCTGATGGGATCACTGTCAGCTCCACAGCTGCTTCATGGTCACAGAAGTATCTGCCAGAGTCTGAGGGAGCAGCTCTGAGGACGATCAGAACCCCGTCAGCCTGTGAACTGTATCGTTTCTGTGGATCATTGATGTGTTTTGTAGTTTTGTCTCCATCAGCTGTAAGTATGTCAGCTCTGCTTCCTCCACTCTCTCTGCTCCACCTCACTCCACCCTCCACAGAGTGAGGACAGCGCAGAGTGATCCGCGTCCCCTCCTTAACTCCTTCATGGGTCAAACCTGCAAAAACAAACAGTTTTCAGAATCACATAAACCTTCAGATGCTGTGGACACACGGTAACATCACACGTCTAGACTGACCTTAACTGGAGCGTTCCTTAATGCTTTGATCCCAAAGTTTCATGAAGTTAAACTTTGTTACATGATCAGTGAAGGAAGAATTTCAAAGCTGCCAATCATCCAAGATTCATATACAGAACTAAAAATCACCAACCAGGCTGATATCTGACAGAGTAACAGCACAAGCATGATTTCTGTCCACTGTGGTCAGACTGTCTGTAATAATGAAGCTTCTTTGAAGGATGTGAGGCTGGAAATGGAGCGGCACCGACATGTCACTCAGCTGTTTTAGTACTGATGTTTCATGATCGCAGCTTCAATCAGGAAACACTAATTTCCTGATTGGAGGTTGAACTGTCGTATGAAGCACTCAGTCTTTTCTAACGTTTTATAGTCCGAACAAAATGGCTTCGTTCATCTGTAAAATAACTGAGGGATAATTTTATGACAGATTTACAGTCAGTGAGATAAAAACTGTGACACGTCGCACACTTTGAGCTGCGGTCACACCTTTATCCAAGCACACAGTCTCACACTGAACTTCACAGCTTTTATTATCTGAGTCTCATATGTAAACTATAAATATGTAAATGTGAATAGAGTGAAAGAGTCTCACCTGCAGCGACATTAGAGCCCAGAGTGCAGGCCAACAGGCAGCAGAAGATGTTCACCTTCATCCTCACACAGTGCGAAGTGTCTGAACAGTTCCTGTGTGATCTGAGAACAGGAACTGAACACGCCTGTTCTTCCTCCTGCTGCTCGTAACCACACAGCTTTACAAACACAAACTTGTTTGTGGGTAACAGGTAACAGATGCTCTTTTTATAGTCTGTGAACATGTTTCAATGTTAACATTTAAATGGGGACATTTTTATGTTGTCGTTGACTGGAAACAGATACTCGTTAAAACCAGCGCCTTAAATCATTATGGACCCAAATCACAGACTGTATATAAAAGATGGGGAAGTTTGAAGAAGCCCTTGTGGTTTCAAACTCTTTAAAACCGCATTATTTATATCAGCCACCAGGGGGCGACTCCTGTGAAGCGTATGGGGACCCCAGTAAACGCTTTACACATAACTTTAGTGTTTCTATGAATAACTTTTAATTCAATTCAGTTTATATGGAACCAATTCAGAACAACTGCTTCAGCAGGCTTCGTAAAAGAAAGACGCAGAGAAAACTTCAAGCATCAGATTCAAGTCTGTTTCATTTGTGATGAAGCAGCTACGCTCCATCATGTGACTGACAAGCATTTAGTCAACGTGACTGCAGCGTAGCTTGATTGCACCGATCACAGTAGAAGCAGCCATGTCCATCATTCATATACAGTCTATGTGACTCTGGACACAAGCTAGAGGAAACGGTAAATGTACCAGAGTAAATGCACACACACACACACACACACACACACACACACAGCAGGAACATTAATATGCACGAATGTTTGCTTCCACTTCCTGCTGACGATGGACCTGATAACTATTCTTTCTTCAACATGAGCAGCAGCTCATCAGAAACTCTGTCTCTAGACTCCACAGTCCTGACGTCCTGCTTCTTTAATGTTTGAACGCGATATGACTTTGCGTTTATAGCGCCTCCATTTCCTCCCGTGTCCCACCGTACTTCCTGTTTTATTTTGTTAGTTTCCTGCAGTGCATTCTCATCTTCATGCTGCTTTGTCAGATGCATGTCACAATTATGCTAATTGTTTGGTGCTCGTGGATCAGCAGCCGCTGTGAGATAACTGCTTCAGTTTATAGACACACTGTGTAAAGCCTGGCACGCATGCCTGTGCACGCCCACAGTGGGTAGCTGTGGGTGAGCCGTAGGGCCGTGTGTGAGCAAACCCCCGAACGCGCCCTCACAGGGTCGACAGCAAGTACCCTAGCTTTTGCAAGCTCCACATTAGTTTTACTCTGCAGGACCCCGTCATCGTCTCTGGCTCACCCACAGTGGGTTTGCTGAGAGGAAACACATATAACACAAAGGGTTTTTGTAGAAGAGTACATGTTTGACTCCCCTGGTTTGAGTGTGCAAGGAAACAGAAGTCCCTTTCTGCTAATATCAAGAAGCACAATTGGTGTAAAAATCTGCCAAATCGACTGTGTGGTGACGCCCTTATGTGGGAGTGGCTAAAAGTAAAAAAACAAACAAAAACAGGCCCACAGTGGGCAAGATTCAAGATTCTTAATTTGCCACATGCATAAGTACAACATGCAGTGAAATGTCTCCTGACACATGCAAAAGGGGAGGGAAGGGTCTGGTGTTATTTTTGTGCCACTATTCTGAGCGCACGTAAAAAAAGTTTGCAGGTGCAAGTGTTGCATTTTGAGGAGAAATTTATTTTGAGCAGAGAAAAGCTGAATCTGAGTGAACAAAATTCATTGCTGCGTGCACCTGTTCGGTTTCCCAGTGTGTGAGGTGGCTCTTACGAACTGGGAAAACACCTGTTGTGTGACAGGAAGTTGTGGCAGGACTTTTATTTTGAAAATCGACGTGAGTTTACGGTGAACTGCTTCTGGGATGCTTCTGGCCAGCAGTGCTCTGAGTTGGTGTGATCGGCCCTTGCTTCTTTCTGATTGGCTGGCCCACCTCATTGTTCCCGTTCAGCCTGCTGTGTGTTTGCGTTCCCGTCTCTTCCCGAATGCTCTGTGCAACATCATGACTCAGTCTATGTTTGTGTGAAGGCAGTGACTGATTTACCTGCTAACTGTTAACAAATTCACATTTTTAAACCACAGTCTTGTACTTTATTTCGTTGTACATGTGCAATGACAATAAAGGCCTCTTCTATTCTGTTCTATTCAGAGGAAGTTGCAGAAAAACACATATGTGTGGATTCTGTTCATAGACTATAGCTCCGCCTTCAACACCATCATACCATCCAGATTTGTCATGAAACTCTGTGACCTGAACATCGGCTCCTCCCTGTGCAGCTGGATCCTGGACTTCCTGACAGACAGACCTCGGGTGGTTAGGATCGGCAGCATCACCTCATCCACACTCAGCACAGGTGGCCCACAGGGATGTGTGCTCAGCCCCCTGCTGTACACCCTGTTCACCCATGACTGTAAAGCAACACACAGCTCCAACACCATCATCCAATTTGCAGATGACACCACCATCATCAGCTGCATTTCTGATGGAGATGAGACGGCATACAGGGCAGAGGTGAGAGCCCCGACATCACGGCGCCGCGACAACAACCTGCTGCTCAACGTCAGCAAAACCAGGAGCTCATCGTGGATTACAGCAGACTGCAGAGAGGAGGCCACACCCCCATCCACATCGAAGGAGCAGAGGTGGAGAGAGTCAGCTGCTTCAGAGGCATCAACATCAGCGAGGATCTGAGCTGGTCACAACATGTTGGTGTGATCACAAGAGCAGCAAGACAGCGGCTCTTCTTCCTGCGGCGCCTGAGAAGATTCAGCATGAACCCCAGAATTATTATTTTTTAAAATATAATAAGAACTTCTGTCGATGCACCATTGATGCAGCTGTAATACTCTGGACTGCAAAGCTCTGCAGAGGGTGGTGAGGTCAGCACAGCATCACCAGGACTGAACGTGCAGCCATGCAGCATCTCTGCAGACAGCGCTGCATGAGGACGACGCAGGCGGCTCAGGAGCATCCAGACCCGCACTACCACACACAGGGACAGTTTTTACCCACAAGCCATCAGGCTTTTGAACTGCTGACATTCGATACACACCATTACAAACTACTGGACTCTACACACTGTCATTTTAAACAATGCCACTTTAAATCCTCACTGCACAGTTTTTGCACAAACTGTAAATATTAAACTATTAACATTTTAATACTTTCAGGCTTTTTTATTTTAATATTATTATTTTCTTTAACACACCTGTATACTTCCTATATGTCCGTGTAAAGTTGGGGAACACAAGTGTAAGAATTTCATTGCGGGCAGTGTTTGTCACAGCTGGCGCAGCAGTGGTCTGGTGTGTGGGAAAAAGGACTCGCATGCAGTTACAGAGATGCGATGGAGATTTATTATAAATGACAGAACACAAAGTGGCAAAAACAGAACTTAATAATAATCCAAACTGGGAGAAACTAAACTATAGAACAGCAAACCTGAACACGAAGGGAGGACAGCAGGGAGAGCACACAGTGGATTCACAGACAGTAACGAGCACACCCATACACACAGAGGGACACTGTGAAATCACACACAGGTGGGAGACACAGCTGGACCTGATTAACCTGACGAGACAGAGGAACACTAACACCAGGGACCACCAGAGGGAGCACCAGCCCAGAATCCCAGAACGGTGGAAACCCAAAGAAAACACACAATAAGAGGCTGTAATGTTTGTGTCTCACTCTCGCCGCCCATGTCACCTGTACTTGTGCCTGCATAATGACGTGAAGAAATATTTATAAGAATTATTGTTCAAAAAATATATTTAATATGAAGGCAACAGGAAGTGTTACAGGCATCGCCCTAAAGCCTGATGGGCAGTGTAGTCCGAGCTGCAGGGAGGATGGACCCGTGATGTGTCTGTGAGTGAGGGAGAAAAAGGAAAAGTAGGAGCTGTCACGGAGCAGAAACGGGAGCTGGAAGCATGTAAATATAATAATAACCACTGCAGCCTGACGAGCCCAGCTGTAAGTAAGCTGTTAAGACTCGACTGTACACCGTGTTCCTGTTTCCTCTGAAACAATAAGTCCCGTTGCAGCAGCCTTTCAACGCCTCTCTCTGTCTCTGCTAGCAAAGTGACCCAGACAACAAAGTAAAGCTAGTTTTCAGCTACGAGCCGACACGAACCCGACGTATTAGCCAGAGGTCCCTTTACTACGCTTCGGAGCCGCCGACCTGTTTTATATACGCGTGGAATAGTTTTCTATACGAGATCACTGCAAAAAGTGCAGCCTTACCTAATGTCCACCTACTGTTACTCATTTATATTAAGATTTGAATCTAGCTGGTGTTGGTGTGGAGAGTAGCCTTCAGTAATAGTAATAAATCACATTCATGTAGTTGTAAAAAGCATGATAATATATTAAGTAATCCAAAGTATTCAGAATGTAATCTGTAATCTGTAGTGGGATACATTTTAACAGTAACCTTCCCATCACTGATTACAGGTACGTGTTGCTACACCGTTTTCTGTCATTGACAATGAAACTTGAAACAGTTTGCTGACGTCCGTGTGCACGATGGTGTTTCACACCTACACTTCAAACTTCTTTCTCTCTGATGTGTGAACTATAAATAGAACGAGCTGGTTTGTGCTCTTTGCTGTGTGTTTTTGTGTTATTCCCTCTGACACTGATACTTGTTTGCACTGGTTAAAGGTCAGTGTGTATTAGGAGGACGCCTACAGCGTGAAACACAAACACGTTGCCACCAGAAGCACAGAAAGCATGAATTCCTGCTCTTATAGCTCCACTTAAACACTGCCATTCTGCTGCAGCAGCATCATTTGCATATGGCAGAAAGGCCTATGATGCTTTCAGTTGTTCTTTAGATGCAAAGAAAAACAGAAAGTTGTATCTGCCAGCAGCCTGAGCCGACAGCAACATGGTTGTAGAAGAAGAGGTTTCAGAATATGAGGATCACATTTCTGAATTTTCAGTCTGACAGTGACTTTGAAGAAGAGGATGAGGCTGAGCGCCATTTAGTAACAAAACAAAGACGAGTACCCCATCAGCAGCCAGCTCCAG